CAGACATGTGTGTGTGTGCAGGCACAGCATACAACCACCCCCATATGTGCACCTGTACACACATCCACACAGACATACAAATACAACAAGAACACACTCATGCACACATAAACACATATCCACAGACACATCCCTGCACACACCTCAGGCACTTGGAGCACACATCTTGGAGCTTAGAGACACGCTTGTTGTCTGCATATGTCCGAGCACACCTCACACACCAGGTGTCTGCCTGCCTGCCTCAGGAAGGCCCCAGAGCTCCTGGGGGGACACTGCCACTTGGGCACTTCCTTCTGCCAATCCCAGTGCTGGTCCTTTGGGTGGGGTAGGGGGTGACCAGAAGGGGGGATGCCTGGGATGTTCCTGCCATGAGCGCTGACCATGTTCCACCCCCCACACCTTCAACATAGACCCTGAGGCCTGCTGCCCAGAAGCCACATGCTCCCAGTCTGCTTGGGGTGATGACAACCCCTCCCACACTCTGTACTGGTGGGGGTGGAAGGACAGCCCCTTCCCCAAGGGCTCTAAACTAAAGAAGGGCCAGATGGTGGGGGTACGGATGACCTGGGCTTCTCCCCCACCCAGGGTCCTGCCTGCTCTCCACACCAGCACCTCAGGGCAGGGAGCTGGAAGCAGAGAAGCCAGAGGGCTTAGAGTCCCTGTGACATGGGTGGGAGGTCCCTCACTCTGCCCCCAGGTACCTCAGAGATGACTGGTGCACAGGGTAAGCCCAGAGTGGTAAACCCCAATGCAGAGGACAGGAGAAGGTCCTGCTGGGGTGGCTTGGAGCGGAGCAGCTGGAACCAAGCAGGACTCGGGGGAAAGGACTGCTGCTGTGTGGTAGAGGCAGGAGAGGGGCAGAGAATGGCTCTGGGATGGGGGCCTCTCTGCATTCCTGCAAAGGGGACATGTCCAGAGCATGCCCTGGGTGACCTGGCTCCCCTGCTATGGCTCACACATCACTTTTATATGGGTTATTTCCTCCAGTCTACACAGAGCCTGTGAAGTGGATATTATCCATTCCAGTCCAATGACTTGCCCAAAGTCACCCAGCAAGTTTTCCCAGTGCTCTCCATATCCCCTGTCCCTGTCCCTTCTGTCTGTCCCAGCCCACTCTGTAAGTATTCTCTTGGCCCAGGGCAAAGGAGAGGGAAGGAGCACAGGGTGTGTGTGTGTGTGTGTGTGTGTACTTGTGTGTGTGTGTGTGTACTTGTGTGTGTGTGTGTGTGTGTGTACTTGTGTGTGTGTGTATGCATGCAACCCTCCTTCAGGTCAACAGTTTAAGTGGACCCTCTCTCTCTTCTTTCTGTCTCCAAATAGCAACTCAAGTGCCTCAAACAGTCCTCAGGGCATCACCCTATTCCCTCACCTTTGACCGCCCCCATCCCTGCCCTGTCCATGTTCTACAGGGGCAGTCGAGGCATAGTTGGCTTGTGGGGGTCTCCAGCAACAGATTTTGGGCTATTGGGGTGGCTAGCAGGACTCCTCATTCCCAGGGTCTGCATTGCCTTTTGCAAGCTCCTCCCCACTCTGGTGATGGGCTGCCTATTCCTGGCCCCCTTACATGGTGCCCACAGCAAAACCCTTGGCACCTCTATGGGGGCCCTGGAGGGAGAGAAGGATAAGAGAAGTGGGTGTCACAGATAGGGTTGGGCAAGATGCCACTAATGGGTGTGTGGGCAGCGGGAAGAGGACATGTTATCTGTACCAGATACCTGGGGCTCCAGAAGCCCTGGGGTGAACCCCACCTTTCCCAGGAGGACCTAAGGTCAGTTATGGGCACATCAGACAGCCAGAAACAGAGACTAACCACTCACTGCCCAGCTAGAGCCTGGCACCTAGCTAGAGCCTGCTCAGACCTGCTCCCAGGAGGCACATTTATGAAGCACCTTCTGTGTGCCTGGCTCTGTGGCAGCCACTCTACATCTGTCCTCCCCAAGCGGGAGGCTGTTATCCCCATTGTACAGATGAGGCAATTGAGGCTCCAAGAGGTTATGTAACTGGCCTAGGACACACACACCATGTGGCCAAGTTAGGATTTCAACACAGAATATCTAGTCTCAGAACTTCCTACCCAATGGGGTTGTGATGGAGTAAAGCAAGGAGGCAGGGCGAAGAGCCAGTGTCGGGTCACAAGTGGGGTGGGAGGAGGAAGGCAAGGAGGCTGCTTCTGGGAGAGGTTTTAGGTCGCTGTCCTCCAGACCAGCAACCTGATATGGGCCAAAGCAGGCTGGTATGTGGCCAGCTGGTGGTGGTTGTGGTGGTGCAGAGGGTTTCAGGCTGTCTTGAGGTTGTGAAGGGAACAAGGGGCCAGGACACTTGGTCCTCCAGGGAGGATTTGGTTTGGTTCTGGAGGGGAGGCAGAGCTACCTGTAAAAACGCCCTGTTGAGGCTGGGGTTAAGTGGGGGAGGCACAGCTTTGCCTTTAGAAATGTGGTTTCCAAAGTGGGGATGCATTTAGGGGTACAGAAGGTGATCCTTTGGGGTGTGGTAAGAAAATATTGGAACTTCTATTTATAGTTTTAAAATAATCATTAAAAATTTTTTTTCTGTTTGTGAATGGTTTTTAATATACATATTAGTTCAATAGCACAGATATAATAATACATAAATATAAACATACATGCGCTGAGGATTCCAAACTTTGTTTGTTTGTTTTACTGAGAGGTATAGCCAATAGAAAAGGTTTCCAGAACAAGACTGGCGAGGAATCGGAGGAGGTGGATGTAGAAAGATAGACTTGGGATAGCTGTTGACGGCTCCTGCTGACCATTACCGGAAGTACATTATTCAATATAGGACCAGATCTGGAAATTCGGAACACCGCTCTGAGTTTTATTTCTCTGTGCCCTGACTCCCAAAGCTCTGGAATGAACATCCACCAGAGGGTAACCTTGATTTCAGGGGAAGCAGAGACACTGCATCCTTGTAACCTCTGAGGCAAGGCAGGGAGGAAGACAGAGCTGATTACAGATTCCAGAGGGGGTCTTCCCCATCCCCACCCCACCAGCCCAGGAGGGGCAGCCCCTAACCACTATGGGATGCATTGTGGACCCTTCCAACCTGCTTCCCTTCCCAGCTACTCTGTTTCCTATCAGTAGCATCCTCATTTCTTTAGGGCCCAGCTTAGAACACTTACTGCACCTCTGTTATGGCATTCCATTATACCACCAGAAAGTGCTTTTGGCATCTGACACCTCCCTCCTGACCTCCACCCCAGACTGTGAGCTTCAAGAGATTAGGGATCACTGAAACTGGCACCCAAGCTGCTATCTGACTCAGTATCACTGAAGCTGGCACCTTGTCTGAAACAGAATAGGAGCATCTTACTCTGCATCCAGAAATGTTTCTCCCCACACTGTAACCTCATGGGGCTGTTGTGAGAATCAAACAACTTAACCATTTGTAAGGTCCTGAGCAGATGGGAGGGGCTGGCATTTTATTGTACAAGGCCCTTAATAGAGAGACACTGTTGACTGACTAATGGGGTTAAGAATAACGAATTGGGCTCCACTGCCCTAGTGGGCCAGAGTATGGGATCCCACCTTGTCTTGGGGATCCTGATTGGAATCGAAGCTGTGGGATGCTGTGGGGGTAATAGTTGCCTGATTGAGAAGTAATTAATATTGGGAAAGATGAGAAGATGGAAGGCCACTTCTCAACCAAATGAAAATATTCGAGGGATTCCCTGCCCAGAGATGGTCAGGTGAGAGTGGAGGGTAGCTTTCATAATGAGAAGGGGATGTCTTCCTGAGTTGAATTAGGAGGATCTTCTGGCTTGAAGGCAAACAGAGAGAGTTAGAAGCAGTGTGCTCCAGAAAGCCTTTTTGCTGAAGACCTACGCCTGCAATTCCAGTCTCTGCCATCTGTGGTCGCTAACTTTCTTCTCCTCCCTCAGTAAAGACAGAGGGCACCGAACAGGCAGGGCTTTCAGTAGAGTGTGGCCTGGTTCTATGGCTTTTCCCTATATCTGTACCCAAACCTATGCCCTTCAGAGCTCTGGGGAGAGCTCAGTCTTCAGGGACCCGGGACCAGTCTCCTGCTTCCAGGATGGATTCCTAAATCAAACCCATTTCTAAGATTTCCAAGCAAGCTTCCAGGATACAGTCCCTTTCTGATCTTAGGAGCCCAGTTAGCACGGAAGAGGGATAACCCCTGAATGTTACAGAGGGCAACTGGAGCGGGTGGGGAGACACCCAAGCCAGAGTAGTACAGCGGCTGGCCCCACATACTCCACATACTGAGAGAAGGGTGGTCTCTGGGAGCCTCTAGTGTTCCCGAGACCTTTTAGTATCTTTCACTAGCCGACCAGGGGTGGAGCCAGACGCTGGGCGAAGGCGGGCAACTGCGTTTAACCCTTTATTTATTTCTTGAGATGAGACTCTAAGGAAGGATAGGAGTCACTTCTTTCTGTATTCCGTAGGCAGGGTTATAGATCAGCACCCTGGTCCAGGCTTCAAATAGGGTCTCGAATGCCTTCGCGAAGACGTTTGCCCTTCTAGAAATTCGGGGATTCTATCCACCATTCGAATCCTTAAAAGCTGACCCTGAGCCGGAGGGCCTTATGGGGGTGGGTCTCCGGCTCCTTGGGGGTTTTCCCTAAACTCCTCCTGTTCTCTTGCCCAATTGAGAAGCAGGATACCGAGGAAAAGTGAAGCATGCCTGGAACTCCAAAGCGGGTCTAAACTGAGAGAAGGGGCGGAGTAATCTTTGGCCATCGCCCTTTTAAGGGATCGCTGGGCTCCGAGGGACACTAGTGGGTACAGGTCCCACCCGTGCTTCCCCGAGTGGACAGTGACCAGGGAGTCGTGGGCTGTGAGGTGTTTCTCAAAGCGCCACCTCCCCGTCTACCCACTCGCTGCTCCGAAAGGCTACTTTCTGCCTGGTTGTCCCGGGGCGTCCACATCCTCCCCTCCTCCTCTCGACTCTTAGTCTCCGCCCCCTCGCGCAGAGGAGGCCTTGCCGCTTTAAGAGCCGGGTTAGCAATTGACAAGCAATAAACGCGGAGCGCCAGCCTGCGCTGGAGCCGCCCCAAGCTAGTGGCTCCCTAGGACTCAGGTAGGCGCCCCCCGCTCCCCAGCTAGCACCTACCCCAGGGTCCCTGTGTCCTCTACGTCCAGGCACAGCACCGGGGCCCTATTCTCTAGGTCCAATCTCCCCTGGCCCCTTCCCCCAGGCCCGCCCCCTCTCTCTTCACCTCCCACCCCCTTCCTTTCTTGGGTGCTCATAGAGAGAGACCAAACCCCGCTGCCCATTGACGCCGGCCCCGGCCCCTGCGGGAAGGGCTGCAAAGTGACATCCAGAACAGAGCTGGTGAGCTGTGCGGGGACTGGGTATCAGCGCGGCCTCTCTGGGGGCCGTGCGGATTCGGGGGACTTCGGAGCTGGGCATTACGTAAGAACTGCGCTGTTAGCGCTTCCGGGGGGGGTGAGGGCGCGAGACAGAGGTTGCTTGGGACCCTGTGGCTCCCCGGTCTCCTTGGGAGGCTAACATCTCCATCTTTCCTGGGAGAGGGTCCTTGGAAGGGGCGCGCTCCTTATTCTTCCTCCCAGGCTGGGGCGGGGGGTGCGGGTCGGCACCGAGGGCCAGCGTTAGGGTCTAGAGATCTGGGAGGGGATCGGGGCCAGGAGCGAGGAGCCAGGGTCAGAAAGTTAGGTCAACTGAGAGGGGAGAGTGAGGACGGGGGCTGGGGGCAGCCATTCAGTGACCTCATCCCTCGGTCTCCCGCGGGTGCTCAAGCAGAGCCTTCTATGATGGCTCGCAACACGCCCCCCTCCCCCAAGGTCCTAGCGCCCAGAGTGTTAGAACTGGGCTCGTGGGGCGGGGGCTATCGGGTTGTCGCTGCCTGCAGCCTGTCTGGCCTCTAGACTCCCATCCCTCAATCTTTCTACCCCCTCCCCACGACCTGTGGGTCTTAAAAGCGCCTTTGTCAGACCTTTCTCCCTCAAATCTCTTTGTATGTGTATTGATGGTGGGGTCAATGGGGAGGTTGGAGGAAACCTTTTCACTGCCTACCCGTGTCACCGACCGACCCTGGGTCACGTGGATAGCCTGGAGGTAGGGGTGAGAGAGTACCGGGTGAGAGAGCACCCGGGTCTAGGCTTTTGGAAGCCGAGGTGCGAGTTTCCTAATGCCTGGGCCCCGGACATTGGCCCGGAGCCAAACTGGCTTGCCTGGCACTGCTGTTCTCCTGTGGGCACAGCCGGGCCCCGCCCTCTCGTAGGCTTGGGGTGGGGGTGGGGCAGAGCCAGTTGCCACCGCGGGAACCGACTCCCCAGGGAGAAAACCCAGGCAGGCTAGGCAAGACTTCTGGGGATAAGGATCCCCGCTGCCGCTTTCCACCCCCCACCTTCCAGGGAAGGCGGATGTGTGGAGTCCCCTCTGTCAGTATCTCTGTCAGGGAGAGCAGCACCAGCCAGGAGAAGGCTGCAGGTTCCAGGTCCTGAGGACCTGGGATGGGAAAGGAAGGGATTATTCCTTACTGCTCTCTAGGAATAGGGACAGTAGGGCTGGCACTGGGGGCACTGGCTGGCACAGCGGATCCTGGGCATTTCTCTCAGCCTGGGTGTTAGCCTGACAGGGAGTGCCCTTCCTTTCCCTGAAAGCTGCTTTCTTCCATGTCCTGGGGGCAGATCCAGGAGGAAGGGGATCTTCCCCCCACCTTTGTAATTTATGTTACCTGAGCTCAGGTGACCATCTCAGGCCTGGAAGGATGATGGCAAGAATCCTTTCTTTGGGGATGGGGTGGGAAGTTGTGGATCCCACACTCCCTGGGCCCAGCAGGCATTCAGTCCTAAAGTGGGCACTGCCAGCTGCTTCCCTCCACTCCTCCAACCCTGCTGTGAGCCACTGCCTCTTGTTGTCATGGCAACTAGGAATTAGGGTTTTCTCCATCCAGCAGCACGTGCCCAGGAAGGCAAAGGGAGGAAGGGTGGTGGGTTGCTTCCTTGGCCCCGCCCCTGAAGAATGGGGGAGCCAATCCCAGCTTGGGGAGGCCCTGGGATGGGAACAGGGGCTGTAAACTCCATACCAGTTTCTGCCCAAAGCCACCTGCTCTTCTTGTCCCAGCTCTGGGCTAAGAAGGGGAAAAGGGGGAGAGAGGAAGCCAGAGAGTCCTTGGGGCAGTACAACATCATTTCTATCAGATGGACAAATGTTTGCGGAGCACCTACACTGTGCCAGGCCTAGGACCCAGAGGCAAAATACAATAAAACAGACGTGGTTCTCGACCTCACGGAGCTTATTGTCTGGGAGCACTCATCTTTCCTGCTTTTGACTCAAATTCTGTATTCTTACTGATCCCTGTTTTTTAAAAAAGGGACAGATGGCAGGGAGAAACACTTTTTTGTTAAGAGTCATAAAACCCAGGTTTTCATTGTAGCTCTGTTTATTAGCTTTGCGACCTTGGGCAAATCAGTTAATCTCACTGATCCTCTGTCTCTGCCTCATTGGAGAAATGGGCATGAAATAGCTGCTCTTTCTGCCTCTTAGGACTGTGGGATCCTCTAGTTTCTGGGCAGTGTCCTCTTTCCTACCTTGTTGGCTGATCCTAAGGGGGAGGCCCTCCCTAATCTCTTTTCCATTGCTTTGCCCTCGCACTTTCTCATCCTCCTCTTTATCCTCCAGGATAAATATCCAGGAGAGACATTTCAGAACCCTTGCCAACCTCACCATGCCGGTTGCTGCCACCAACTCTGAGACTGGTAAGGAGGGGGTGAGGATGTCAATTTGAATCAATGGTTCAGAGGATGCCTGGCAGGGTGGGGAGCAGCAGTCAGGCACTTTCACAGGTCCCTGTGAGAACAAACTGCCCCACTCCACACACACACATACCGCTGCTCCACCCAGCCATTCAGCCATTCATTCAGGCAGCTTCTATGGCCCTGTCACCCCCCCCCCCAGGGTGGGGCTGGAGACACAGCACAACCGTCCTCCATGGAGGGCAGGGGCATGCATGCTTCACATGATGCACACTATTGCCGTAGGGCAATGGCATGGGGCCAGGTTAGAAAGTGGCCCTTAGGAGCTAGGCCTTGGAGGATGGCTATAGGGTAGAGGGACTGCAGCAGCCCAGCCTGGGCCTGAGAAGTCCTTGGTGCGGTGCCCACCAGATGGGTTGAGTAGATCAGCATGTGCTAGAGATGGGATGTGTGTGTGTGCTGGGGCACAGGAAGCTGTGCATGGAGAATTCCAGGTCAGGAAGCCTCAACTTGGTTCTGTAGGTTTTAGGGCAAGGGAACGGGTCTCCCAGACAAGTTAGGAAGCCTCAGGAGCAAGCTGCTTAACCTCTCAGAGCCTGTGTCTGTTGTGCAAAGAAGTTGATGGGAGACTCAAAGCCTATGCCAGGGAAGAACATCACTGTTCCCATTATTGGGCTGTGCTCCTAATTTGTTACCTCATTAACCTGTGGCCTAGTATCAATCACTTCCATTTTAGGACCAAGGTTTCCCCATCTGTAAGATGAGGTGATGGGACAAGATCATGGTTTTTAACTTTTGTTGGCCATGGTTTCATTTGAGAATCTGATGATCGCTGTGGGCTCTCATCATAGACAAATGGTTCTCTGCAAAAAAATCCGTATTCTACTCTGGAGTTCATGAACCTCTTAAGTACATTCAGGGACCCACAAGATGAGGCTCCCTGTGCTAGAGACTAAGGGCCCTCACAACTGTAAGCTGCTCTGGGTTTGCTCTGATTTGTCTGCCATTCCCCCTGCCTGGATGCTTTACCCTCCAGGCAGCTCTACCCTTGCTGCTCCCTCTATGAGTTGTTCCAGGCCTCCCAATTTGGTTAGAGGGACTGTCCCTCCCCTCTGAGAAAGTGAACCAAGAAAGTGAAGGCTGCTGTGAGTGGGCCAGAGCCTAAACTGTGACACATTTGTCCTCCAGGAAAAGCCTCTTTTCCATGCAGTGGAGGGACTGTCCCAATGTCTCCCAGCTTCTGCAGCCTTAGAGGGCTCAGTGCCTCTACCTCCTGTCCAGCCTGCTAGGCCCCCTGGGCACTCCTGCTCCAGCCTGCCTGCCTCCCCCACTCCCCCCACACACTGTAAGCTGCTTAGGGGTTAATGAAGCCCATCCTGAGCCTGTGATTAAAGGCCTTTTAATCTGGGGCCACCAGTAAATCCATTAATAGTGCCTGGCAGGGGTATAGAAGGAGAAGGTCCATCAATTTGGCTTCCTTGATGCAGGCCACTTGATGGGGGCATGGTGGAGTGGGTGGGGGACAGGGCAGGGAACCCATGGCTATGGGGCCTGCTTCTCTGAGGGCTCCTGAGGCCCATGTTTCCCTGGGTGTTGTGCCATGAGCTGCTTCTGCCTTCCCATATCCAAAGGAAGGACAGGAGCAAGCTGCTTACCCTCTCGGAGCCTGTGTTTCCTCTTCTGTAAAGAGGTGATATACGACTCAAAGGCTATGAGTCTCTTAGTCCTTCCTGCAGGCAGCCCTCTGTGCCCACCCCAGGCTGGATCGGCTCCTGGCCTCAGAAGTCGAATAGTGGGTTCTTCCCCTTCTCACTCTGTGGCCGTTATACTTCCTACAGGCCTGAGAGACAGCTGCACCCCTGCCTCTGAGGTCAGGTTCACCTTCCCCCTACCCTCTTCCTTCCCTGGAATATCCCAGCCTTGTGCTTCACAGAGAATGAAGCTAGCAAGGTCCTTTTCCCACCCTTTCCCGTAGGTCAACATGGTCATTGTCATTGTGTGTGGGGGGGAATGGGGTGGGTGTATTCCTCTTGCAGAGAAGGTTGGGGAAAGAGTTGGGAGGAATGAGAGTGATGGCATGGGCTGATAGTGGAGAGAATTTGCCTCTGGAGTTTCCAGATCTGCAGCCTTGCCTTCCCTTCCCCCTTTACCTCACTCCCTTTTTTTCTTTGAACCAAGGCTGGGGTATGGGCTGCTTTCAGGTGAAGCTGTTCCTTTAAATCTCTCTAGCATCCCAGGGTTAATGTCTTGGTGTGTAATCGCTCTTGTTGCCATGGTAATCAGGGGTGCAAAGCAACCTGGTGCCACTCCTCAGGGAATGGCTGCCTGGTGGCAGTGCCTGGTGATGGCCTCATGGGTACCGGGTTTCAGAAGAATGGAGGCACTGGGGTCGGGTAACTGTCAAGTCTCTCCCTCCTGCTCACCCTTGTCTCTGATGAGAGAATGCGCCCTCACCTTTTACCTTCCCCAATTCTAAAATGCCTAACTTGCCCACTAGTCATCCCTTACTCAAGAGAAGGAGCTAATGGGAGATGGGGGCAGGGGAGAAGCCGCTGCTGAGATGTGGGGTTCAGAGGGCTTGAGGTACCCTTCCTCACCCACAGAGGTGCCATCCCCCCTTGCCTGCTTTTTCTCGGTGTTCCTCCGCATGCCACAGTGGTACCACAGCTCCAGGCGGAAGACTGAGAGTCATTATCGGGGGCTTCCTTTAATCCTGAGGGGGTCATTGTAAAGGAAATTGGGGCTGAAGAGGGGACAAAGAATAGAGGTTGGAGGGCACGGGAGGAGGTGGCGTGCGGATGTATTAGAGGAGGAACTTTCAGAAGAGGGGGCGGGAATAAGGTGGGACCAAGTCCCCCTTGGGTTTCGTGCCACTGGACTGTGAGCACTGCCCCAGATCTGAAGGGGCAGCACACTTAACCACCCCTGACCCTTTCTCCGCCGCCCCCTCCCCACTCCCTCTAAACCGAGGGGGATCATCAGGCCAGCAGTAGGGCCTGGACTCTCTTTCCCACCGCCTCGCCCCACCCGTATTCTTTGGCCAATCAATAAGGCGGTCAGGGCGGCTGAGCCTTGTATTGGCTGATTCTGCAGAGAGCCCTCCCTGAGTCCCGCCTCCTCCAGCGCAGGCCCCCTCTGGCTGGGAAAGCAGCCCACTGCAGAGTGGGGCTACTACTCCGGGATCCCCGGGCCGGGTTGAGGGGCAGCCATGGCGGGCAGCCCAGGCAGCGGGGCCTCCTCGGAGGGTATATCCTTGGACTCCAATGAGGAAGCTGACCTCCGAAGGGAAGGTAGGGAAAGGCGGGGTGGGGAGGCTGGAGGGAAAGCTGACCCTACAAGGTTTGGGGTATCTGGAAAGGGTACCCTAGGAAAGGGCTTCCTGGAGCATAAGGATCTGGCGGCATGGCCCCCCCCCCAGGAGAGCTGGCGTAGGTCAAGGGAGCCAACTCCCCTGGCTGAGTCCTCCCTCATGGCTAGCAGGCTGAGGAGTCTGTATGTGGGATGATTAGAGAGGGTGGACTCTAGGATATCCTGCAGAGTGAGAAGCGTTTCTGCTCTGGCCTCTTTCTGAACCCACTAAGGGCCTTGCAGGTCTCTGACCAATGAATGCCAAGCCCAGGCCTGGGCAGGAGGGGTCTGGAGGGCAGGCTGGGATGTTGTTTCTGGAGAAGATGGGGTGAAGGTCGGGGGAAGAGGGCAGGAGTCCAGGAGTCCCTGAACCACGTCTGCCAGCTCGTTTCAGTGCCCCCTCCTTTCCATCCCCATTCCTTCCTGGAGGAGGGGGCACTGACAAGAGCTGTGAGAGGTGCCAGGGATGTATCTACCCCTCCTTCTCCATGGCTTGGGAGCTGTTATGCAGATGTAGGCGTGGGTGGAAGGGTGGCAGAGTAATGATACTCCCTGCCCATCTCTGCTCTCATCTGGGCGCACTCTGCTTCTCCCTTCCTTTCCCCAGAACCTGTCACAGCCAGGAGCTTCCTCCTCTGTTGGTGGGTGACTACAACCCCCACCTCAGATCTCATCAGCCACTGCTGGGGCCCAGTGTCAGGTGTTCTCATGTCCATAACCAAGTTATGTCCGTCCCAGGCTGAAGGTTTGGTGATGCCCCGAGATGACTTGGTCTGACTTCTGCCCTTGGGTGCTCACAGTCATCCCAGGCCCCAGGGTGCTTGTTTTCCCAGCTCCTGCCAATGTTCTGGGCCTCAGCTTTAGCTTCCTATGATCTATATTAATTTCTCAATGATTATAGATCATTGCCAGAGTTGAATGGCCTGTAGACACCATCTAGTTCTTTCCATCGAGGGAAAGACTGAAGCCAGTGAGGGACAGTGACTTGTGCAAAATCACACTGGATTAGTGGCACAGCTTGTACTGGATACTGCGTAGGCCCTGGCTTCCTGTGTGGCTGCCTGCTTGACCCCAGTCCTGCAAAAGGGACATGGTCCAAGCACTGTCTCTCATTCCGGATTCTACCAGGTGCGGGTGGCTGAGTCCTGGGGCTTCAGCCCATTCAGAGGTTGAGCGAAGAGCCTGTGATTCTCTGATTCACAGCAGAAACTGGAACCTGATGCCTGCTCTCCTTTCTCCTTTCCCCCAACCTCAGAGTCCACTTTCTGATGCCTGGAGCCCCCCACCTGCCCGTGCTGGCATTACTTAGAGCCTAGAGAAACAGGCCAAGGAGACTCCTCGCTCCCTCCCGGGGCCTTTGCCCCAGGCATTCCCACGCCTGGCAGGGAGGAAAGTGCTGCGGGGGAGGGGCTATACTCTGTGGGTCATGGGGTGGGAGGGGTGGGGTTGCTGTGGTGTGTTTTGGTCTCCTGTGCTCAGCTGGCATCTGTGTGTCTCACTGCTCCCCCCTCCCCCTCAGCCATGCAGCAAGTCCTGGACAACCTGGGATCCCTCCCCAATGCCACGGGGGCAGCAGAACTGGACCTGATCTTCCTTCGAGGCATTATGGAAAGTCCCATAGTAAGATCCCTGGCCAAGGTATAGTGCTCCAGGGAGGTGGGAACTGGATCCAGAAGGCACAGTGGAGGATGGGGTGTTAGCCACATGGGGCCTTAGGAATGAGGCATGTGGCACTGGAGACCCCTAGAGGGGGGTATGTATGAACATCCATGCCCAGATGATGAATCTGTGCCACCGGAGGTTAGGGGGGCTGCCCCATGCCTGGCTGGTGAGTGTGGGGTCATGCACAGGTGGGTGGGTGTTTGGTGACAGCCAGTTTATGGAGGGTATGATGGAGGGGGGTATGTTTGTGCGCTGAAATCTCCAGAGTTCATTCATCCTGTCTATCCCTCGGTTGTTGGGCATTTTGTACAGGTATCTTTTCATGGTCACCTGCCATGCTTCAGGTGGGGAAAAGACTCACCAGAAGAGAAAGTTATAAAACAACTGGGTAATGGCAGTAATAGAGGCAGAAGCAGTAGGCATTTTGGAAGCATAAAGGACAGATGCCTAACCCAGCCCAGTTGGGAAGGGAAGGCTTCCTGGAGGAAAAACCACTTGAGCTGAATCAGGAAGAGTGAGGAAGAGGGGGAGGGCATTCTAGGCCATGGGAAGAGCTTGAGCAGAAGCAGAGGTGAGAAGCAGAATATACAGGGGACTGGAAGTGTCACTGTGAGGCTGGAACTTCAGGTGTGAGAACAGAGAGTGTGAGCTGCAGAGATGCTAACAGGTGGTGGAGGGCACTGGGGACTGTGCCTGGGCATTTGGGCATTGTCCTGTGAGCAACATGGAGCCTTTCATGGGTTTTAAGCAGGGGTGTGATGACAGCATATGGGCATTTTAGAAACACCCCTCTGGCAGCCACATGGAAAATAGTTGGAGGGTTATGGCTGGAGTTGGAGAGACCAGAGCTGAAGATGGCCCTGAACTAGACCTCTGGTAACAGAGCTTGAGGGAGGGGAGGATGAAAGAAATATTTAGAAGTAAATTGGTAGTACTTGGTGTTGGTTGTGGAAGCTGAGGGGTGGGGGTAGCTAGGCACCTGGGATTATGCAGAGGGCAAGTATGGGGCTGGTGCTGTCTTCTGAGAGAAGCAGCATGGACAAGGGGAGGGGCAGACGAAGAAGGAGCCCCATCTCTTGAGGAGGAGGAAGGAGAGAAGGCAAGAACGGTGCCAATAGCTGTGTTGGAGGCAAGGCTGGGATGTTCAGATTTCCCAGGGAGGGTGGGGCATTGTCTGCTGGGAATTAGGGATCAGAGGTTGAGCAGGAAGGTGGGGGAGATTTGGAAGTATAGGTTCAAATAATCACTGAAGGGGAGGAGAGAGGGAACCCACCAAAGCCAGAGAGCAGGATCAAGGGCCTAGACTGTCTGTTGTAGGTGCCAGATTTCCCAGGGTAGGAGTGGCTCAGTCCAGAGACTCAGATAAAAGGGTGGCTTTGGTTCAGGGCTTGTGCTGGATGGAGGCTGTGGGAGGCTGAGATGCAGGGAACAGTGTTAAGGGGTCAGGTGAGAGCAGCTCAGAGCATCCCCTCTGGGGCCCAGGCTGGGAGGGGAGGAGAGGGAACCAGGAGGAGACAGAAAGGCAGGAAGAAAATGGAGGTGAAGGCCCGGGGGCTCTCTGAGGTCACAGTGTTTGGGGAGAGAGTGTATAGCTGGAAGAGAAGAAGGCCGGGTCAGAGAGAGGGGGGTGGAAGGTGAAAGATTTCCAAGGAGGACAGTTCTGGGAGATGACATGACAATCTAGGGTGTGGCTGCAGTGGACAGGAGGTCACCCATGCTAAAGAGGTCCAGGAATAGAAGGCTTGGGTGAGGGATGGGGGGTCTCCATGGGCATTAGAATTTAGGGTTACAGCAGGCATTGAGGTAGAAAGGAGACTTAGACAGTCAGTCCCAGGGTCTTCAATGAATGGTGGTGTGGTTGACCAGGAAGTTGGCAATGATTTCAATTGCAAGGAGGGAGAGGGTGATATAGCCAGGTGTGTGTGAGGGTGGGGGGTGGGGGGCGGGTGTTCCATAGAGTGGGGATGGGGACTGTCACAAGACAGTTGTGGCAGGCCCTGGCATGGGGTATGGAAAGAGACCATACCCCACTAGAAGGAGAGAGCTGCCACAGAGGACATTATGTCCCAGGGACACAGGCTGCTCACGTTATCATACGTGGAATGGTAAAGACCTGGGATGTTGTTCATGAGGAGAGATGAGCCATTGGACTGGAGCTCACAGGGAGGACTCCACTCCTATAGTGAAGCTGGAGTGAGAGAGATAGCAAAGCAAGACAGGGCCCTAGAAGAAAGAGAACCCGGGGGAGGGGGGTCACTAAGAGACTCTGACCAGGGGACGTGATAAGCAGAGGCTATAGGGGTGGGGAGCCCAGAGTCAGTTAACCTTTGCTGGGTAACAACACACCCCAATGCATAGTGGCCTAAAACAGCCATGATATATTTCTCATGATTTTGTGGAACAGTTGGGTGGTTTTTCTGGTCTGGGTTTGCTGAGTTGGGGCTGGGTGTTCTAGGATGGCGTCACTCACATGTCTGCTGTCTCAGCTGGGAAGCCTGCAGCATCTAGGATGGCGAGGTCTCTCATCCTCTAGGAGGGTGGCCCTGGTTTCTTTACATGGTTGTCTCAGCAGCAAGCAAGGACAAGCCCCAAATCCCAAGCACTTTCCAAGCCTCTGCTTGTATCACATCTGCTAATGTCCCATTGGCCATGGCAAGTCACATGGTCAAATCCAGATTGAAGTGGTGACATCACCTTCTGGCACACCACTCCCTGGGATTTCTTTCAGCTTTTGAACTGTTTAATTATGAGCCTGGGTTTCAAATGAGAATTCCCTGTCTTCTGCCAAGATCAGAGAGGTTGGAGTGGGAGGGCAGAGGGAAAACCTTTCAAAGAAATAGCTGTGTGGCGTTTCTGCATTTGCAGTTGGCTTACATCTCTGGATCAGAAGCTGGCAGATCTAGGTATAGGCTCTACCATTAACTAGTTGTGAACCTGGCCCAAGCTTCTACTCTATAATGAGCTTGAGCCCCTGCTGTGTTGAAGATGATTTTCTGAGCAGAATTAAACAAAAGGTTACCATAGAAATTCAAAGCCACTCTGTTGGCTGTGGAGCCTGGTACCAAGAACATGCTTTCTAAAAACAAGTGCCCAGATAGTGCTCCCTGTGAGGGAGCTCAAAGAGTCAGGAACCTTTGACTGGGGTCCCTGATGTACATGGATGAGCTGCATGCTATTAAGGAATTCATTGTACCCATCCAAGCCTCACATACTTTATTGGGAAATTGGCTTTAATATTATTAATCTCACAGGGTCGTTGTGACTTTTAAATGGGATGGTATTTTGCAAATGTGCAGCTTCACCATCGGACATGTGTTATACCCCACGGCCCAGCAATTCTGTTCCTAGGAGAAACTGTCCCATGTGCACCAGGAGACACTGATTGGAATGTTCATAGTGGCACTGTCCACAATGGCAAAAACCGGAAATGAACCGGATGCCTCCCCAAGAGTGAGGAGATGAATGAAATGTGGGGCATTCACACAGTGGAAGATAATACAGCAGTTAAAAATGAATGAATTGGGCCGGCTGAGTGGCGCGTTGGTTAAGAGCTGGCTTGGGACGCCAGAGGGCCCCGGTTCAGATCCCACATGTGAGGGCCAGTGACACTGCCCTCTACAGCTAAGATGCTGAACAACAGCTCAACCTGGAGCTGGGCTGCCGTGAGTCGCCGGCGACAGCATAGGCTGCAGCCCCTGTGGCAGTGGGTTGCCATGGGCTACCATGTGTAGCCAGCAGCCAGCATGAGCGGCCAGCAGCCGCAGTGAGCGGCAGTCCAGAAGCCGGCAACTGATCTGCCTCACTCGGGAAGAGCGCAATGATGGTGCCAACTTGGGTGCCAGTGAAGCAACGTCCTCCACAACTAGACTGAAGAACAAAACAACAACTTGTCTGTTCCCCTTCCCCTAATTCCCCAATTAAAAAAAAAAATAAAAAAATGAATGAACTAATGTGATGTGGGAAAAAAGAATGAATCATAGCAAAACAATGTTACAGTAAAAATACTATTAAGTGAAATATGTTGTCTCTTAATATGAAAAAGGAGAGTAAATCTTAGCAGAATAATAGCGGGTAAAAAAAATAGTAGGTGAAATAATTTAAAAATAATTGAAAAAATTATGTTACGTAGGAAAATTAATGTTAAGTGAAATTTTAGTAATTTAATAAGATTAAGTGAAAAAAATCAGGCCCCCCCACCAGCAGTGATATGTAGCATAATTCCCTTATTTTAAAGGTAAAAATAACAACAAACGATATCCATTCTAGGAATATGTAGTATACATATAGACACACTAAAACTATGTAAAATAGGAAGCTAGAGCATGATGAACATGAACTCAAAGTGGAGGTTTCTGGGAGTGGATGGGTGGGTGGAGCATGTGGTTAGATGTAGGATATTGTCAAGATCCTCATTTATGGTTTGAATGGTGGGTTCTTAGATCCTTGTTAAATTATTACAAAATTATCTCATTTAATACAAAGTAATTAAAAGGAAGCCATACACAAACCAATAGTGAGAACATATCATGAACTAAGGATATGATTAATCCAATTTTGAGTTTCCAAAGTCCCAGAAAAGTGTGTTGCAAGTCATGATACAGGTTGGGAGCTCTCAGCACTAGTCACTCAGCTGTTCAGATCAGCCTGCTGTAATGTTTCTTTTGTATTAGAATGGTTAAGTGTTTAAAATGTCCTCTGGGCCAGGAAGGTTGAACTTGGAGGGCTACGCTTTTATATCTATGGGCAAGATGTCCAGGGTCAGCCACAGGAGGAGGAATGGATCAGCCTGGGGGAGGGTTGTTAAATCAAAGATGGGGGGTAAGTGGCTTAGGAGATGTCCTGGCTTCCTGCATGGCCAGAAACGTGTCCTCCCCATCAGTGGAGCGGAAGATGCTAAAGCTAAAATGGGTGACTTCTCTGCTCACCTCATGTCACCTCGGCCAGACTAGCTCCTTTAGCCTAAAAGAGTCTGGCCAGGGTAACCATGGTGATATGGTTGCACGCCTGAGTGCCTTTGTTCATTCTTGAAACACAGTTCCTGGGGCCCTGGACAGACTCCCAGCAACAGCCTAGACTCAGTGGTAACAGTCAGGAAGCTCCACAGACTGAGGATCATGTAAGGTTCAGTGGAGGCTTCTGGGGCATGTCCCTGCCCTCCAGCTTCTGAGGAACATCAAGGCATAAGGAGCCTCTGAGTGTTACTCCTTTTTCCCTTCAATTGTCTGTTTCCCCAGCAAGAGCACTCTGCCCAGTCCAAAAGCTGCCTACCTGCATGGAAGACAGTTTAGGTGACAGTAAGGCCAACACGCCTCCCTATGTGGGATGCTATTCCCCTGGCCTGTTTAGGGAAAGGAAGGCAGAGAGGAACTAGTCTTTATGGCCTACCTGCTGTGTGCCAGGCACTGTGTCCATCTAACCAACTCCTCAGAGTATCCCTGCGAGTTGTTATTAAAATCTCATCTCATGGGCTTGAAAAACTTTCTATTATGGAAATTTTTAAAAATGTCTCCTGAACGTCCAGCATTCATTGTCCCCCTTCAACATTTTAACAACTCATGAGCAATCGTGTTTTATCCATACCTCCTTCTACTTCTCTCTCTCCTGAATTATTCTGAAGCAAATCTCAGACATAATTTTATCTGTATTTCAGTGTGTATAATTAAAAGACAAAGATTCTTTAAAAAGTAATCACATTATCATTATCACACATAGAACATCAAAATAATTTTCTTATGAATTTTTAATAAATGGTATTTGGATAACTGGATAGTCATTTGGAAAGATTTCAAAGTAGATCTATACCTCACACCATACATCAGAATAAACTCCAAGCAGACCAGAGATCTAAATGTGAAAAAATGAACCATACACATCTTAGAAAAAACATGGATTTGTGTATGGGGAAAGCCTTTTTTTTAAACTGTGCCTCAAAATTCAGATGCATAAAATATTAATACGTTTAATTATATTTTTGCACTGACAAAGGAAAACCATAAGCAGAATCCAAAGACAAATGAAAAACTGGGGGAAAATATTTACAAGGTATTTTGCATGCTAAGCCCAACACATAAAGGGCTTATCTTCCTAACACAGAGAACTTCTTAAAAATTAGAGAGAGCAAACCCAGACCTGATAGAAAAATTGGCAGAAGACATGAACAGACAATTCACAGAAAAAGTTATACAGACGGCCCTCAAACATATGAAGAGATGCTCAACTTTTCTCAAAAAGCAAAATGCAAATTAAGCCCCACTGAGATAATTTTTCATCCATGTGATTGGCAGACATTCCAAGGTTCGATCACACACTGTGGTGGCAAGGCTTCAGGAAAGTCTCTCATCCAATGCTAGTGGGAGGGCAAAGCAGCCAAAGCCCCACAGAGGAGAGCCTGTAAATATCTAACAAAACCATATATGTATTTACTGCTTGATCCAGCAAAACTTCTAGGAATTTACATGAAAGATCTCCACAGATTCAAAACAGCTATGCCAGTGTTATTCATTGCAGCTTTATTTGTCATAGTAAAATATTAGAGACAACCTAAATACCTGTGGAGACTGGTTGAATAAATTATGGTACTCCAGCCATGCAATGAGTCGAATGTAGTAATTTAAGTAATAATAATAATAATAATAATAATAATAATAATAATAATAATGGAAGATCTGAATGGTGCAGCATAGAGTGCATATGGGCATATTGCTAAGTTAAAAAATAAACCAATTAAACAAAAAAACCCAACGTATCAAAGAGTGTATATAGTGTTCTACCTTTTATGTAAGGGTCTAAAGTCAGGGTTTGGGGGTGGGGAGATGCCTGGCGGCTGGTGGTGGGGCACAGCGTGATACTCCAGGGCTCTTGGGAACCATCATTTCGTACCTGTTCCGCTTCCACTCCCAGGCCCACGAGCGGCTGGAGGAGACCAAGCTGGAGGCTGTTCGGGACAACAACCTGGAGCTGGTACAGGAGATCCTGCGGGACCTGGCACAGCTGGCAGAGCAGAGCAGCACAGCCGCAGAGCTGGCCCGCATACTCCAGGAGCCCCACTTTCAGGTTCTTTCCCCCTCCCCCTGGGGTGGCGACTGGGGCAGGCTGCTGGGGGAGGGGCTGGCAAGCAGTTGGAGCTGGGATGGGAAGGCCCCGCAGGGCACACTGCCCCATAGTTCCTCTCCTTCCCACCCCTTCTTCAGTCCCTCCTGGAGACACATGACTCGGTGGCATCGAAGACCTATGAGACACCACCCCCTAGCCCGGGCCTGGACCCCACATTCAGCAACCAGCCGGTGCCTCCCGACGCTGTGCGCATGGTGGGCATCCGCAAGACCGCTGGAGAACATTTGGTGAGGGTGCCAGGCCGGGCCAGAGGTGGGGTCTGGAGCGGAGATTGAGAGTAACCAGTGGGGGTCAAACCCAGTCAGGAGAGGGATGAAGATGAAGATCGGATCAGCTTTGCCCAGGGACCCGCCCATGCAGACACTGTGCATCAAAACTGCATACATACATGTGCCAGAACCCTCATCATTCTGTCCACTTTCCTTCTATTAGTGTTCCTGTAAGTGAAAATTTGGGCAGAGGATAGAAGAGAAGTCTGTGATGGCGGGGTGGAAGGGTGGGGAATAGGAATTGGGAGGGAGGGGGGAGGTTACTGGAGATTCCATTAGAAAATTCTGAGGTAGAGCAGTTGGGGCCTCATGCCTGCCCTTGGTCCCCCAGGGCGTGACGTTCCGTGTGGAGGGCGGTGAGTTGGTCATCGCACGCATTCTGCACGGGGGCATGGTGGCTCAGCAAGGCCTGCTGCACGTGGGTGACATCATCAAAGAGGTGAATGGACAGCCTGTAGGCAGCGACCCCCGCGCGCTTCAGGAGCTGCTGCGCAGCGCCAGCGGCAGCGTCATCCTTAAGATTCTGCCCAGCTACCAGGAGCCCCATCTGCCCCGCCAGGTGGGTCCTTCCACCAAAGTCCCTACCCAGCACAAGGCCCAAGGGGTAGTTGAATCTCCCAGCTGTCAGGGTCACAGGCAGGCCCCGAGATGGGATCCCCTCCTTTTCAATGCTCAAAGCAAGATAGGGGGCGGGATCTGTGTGTGTGTGTGTGTGTGTGTGTGTGTGTGTGTGTATACCCAGCTGCCTACAGGCCTAGCCTGTGGTGTACATGCACGTGCTTGTGTTTTTGCCCTGGTCTTGGACACTCATGCGCATATGCAAGAGATGTGGGCACATTCAAGGCTTGGGGTACCTGGTTGTGCAAATGAGCACCGGTACTGTGTGCAGCTGTCTGCGTGCCTGTGTGTATGCTTGGGTACGCACGCAGAGTCTGATTGCTAGGAGTCCTGTACAGCTGCCTCTGGGTTGGTGGATTGTGGAGGTTTGGCTGCTCTGCTCACTTTTATTGGCTCTCTAGCCATCTGCCAGAGCCTCCTCCTCCAAGGGGAGGAGGTGAGTGGACTCAGGGATCCTGTATTACCTGCCAGGGTCTCGTCCCTTACCCGGTGATCCCGCCTCTTTGGTGGGTGGGGCCAGGGCCCCAGGCCTGAGTAGATCCCCAATCCCTTTGTCTGAGTCCTTTTGTTCTAGATGCAAAGGGAGGCTGGTACCAGGGAGGCTGGCCAGGCAGGCCTGGGGACATTATGCCTTTAGAGGGGAAGTGCCAGGGCCTCTGTCATCTTTGTGAGGGAGCGGGCAGAGGGCTGACTGTGTGATACTTCTCCTAAGGGGTGGGGTGGGGGGAGGGGTTCGTGGAGTGGGGGATAGGAGAGGGCATGTCCCCTCCAGCCTTCTCCTGCTTCTTCCCTTGACCCTTCTCTGATCCCGTGCTCAGGTGTTTGTGAAATGCCACTTTGACTATAACCCGGCCCGTGACAGCCTCATCCCCTGCAAAGAAGCTGGCCTTCGCTTCACTGCTGGGGACTTGCTCCAGATTGTAAACCAGGATGACGCCAACTGGTGGCAGGTGAGCCCTAGGTGCCATGCAGTCTCTGCAGGTATGGTGTGTGGAGAAGGTGAGGGTTTGGAAGGTGTCCCTCCACTCAGGCATAGCTTTGCCCATGTCCATTTCAGGCATGCCACGTAGAAGGAGGCAGCGCTGGGCTCATCCCCAGCCAGCTGCTGGAGGAGAAGCGGAAAGCCTTTGTGAAGCGGGACCTGGAGCTGACACCCACCTCAGGTATAAGCCCCCCTTCTCCCAACCTGGGATCCAACTGGTCTCTGCCTGGCCTCACTTGCGCATCTCTCTGTGACCAGGGTCCCTATGCGGCAGCCTTTCAGGAAAGAAAAAGAAGCGAATGATGTATTTGACCACCAAGAACGCAGGTGAGTGTTGGCGGTCCCCCTCTCCCTGCCCTCCTCTAATATGGCACGCCCCTTCCTGCCCCTGCCAATGGCATGCACATGCTCTTCCGATCCTGATGCTGCCAGTCTTGTCCCTAGACCCTCCCCAGTTTCTCCTTGATGCCCCTGGCCTCTGAGAGCCCTTACACCTGACGAGCAGTGCCATCTCCTTGTGTCCAGAGTTTGACCGCCATGAGCTGCTCATTTATGAAGAGGTGGCCCGCATGCCCCCTTTCCGCCGGAAAACTCTGGTGCTGATTGGGGCTCAGGGCGTGGGCCGGCGCAGCCTGAAGAACAAGCTCATCATGTGGGATCCAGATCGCTATGGCACCACAGTGCCCTGTGAGTGGGAGCTTTGCCCTGCTGGGTCGGGGGCAGCGAGCAGGGGCTGCCTTGGGAGCCAGGGCTGCGTCCACTGAATAGATGCTGCTTGGGCACCTGGTCAGGCAATGCTTTTGGGTGTGCGGTGTGGGGCATGCTCTTTCTATGGGTTGATGGGGGAACTGCAGGCTGGGAGAGGTGTTGGGGAGCTGTCCCTTGAACCTGTGGCCAGGTGGGCTGGACTGGCCTTGCCTTTCCTTGTCTCATGTTTCACCTGCTAACAGCCCAGCTGTGAACCCATGTGAAACAGGGCTATGAGCTGGGTGTGGCCTTGTGGAAGATAGGGATTCTTGGTGACAGAATCCGTGGGGGTGGTGAAAGCTTCTGGTTCCTGGAGGCAGGAACCTGAATGCTGACCCTAGATTAGCTTGACCTTGCTGTGTGACTTTGGGCTGCACATTGTCCTCTCTGGGCCTCAGCCCCCACGCCTGTGAGCTCTGGGTTGGAGCAGTGATCTCTGAAGTTCCTTCCGATATGGACGTTGTGAGTCTCCGTGTGTGTGCCAGTGGTGAGGGTGAGGGCATGGTGTGTGGGAAGGCAGCAGTGCTGAGAAGGTGGAGGGCAAGCTGCACCCCCAGGGCTGTATGACACACATAGAACACCTGCATGTGTGTCTGAGGTGGTGTGGCCTGCCTGTGCCCAATCAACCCCCTCCTTCCCCCTAGACACGTCCCGGCGGCCCAAGGACTCAGAGCGGGAAGGCCAGGGTTACAGCTTTGTGTCCCGAGCAGAGATGGAGGCTGACATCCGTGCTGGGCGCTACCTGGAACATGGCGAATATGAGGGCAACCTATACGGCACACGTATCGACTCCATCCGGGGTGTGGTTGCGGCCGGCAAGGTGTGCGTGCTGGATGTCAACCCCCAGGTACCACCTGGCCTGATCCTTTTCATCCAGCCCAATATCCCCTCTGGGTACTCTGCTTCCCCCAGCACTCCCCCCTATATTTCCAGGCACTTGTCTCCCAAACACCCCCATGTAACCCCTCAACTACTTCTAGGGACTCAGCCCACCTAGACCCTTTTTCTCAGTCTCCCAGATCCCCCACTCCTCTAGTCTCCTCCGGTTACTCCAATCCTCAGCCACCTGGCAGCTACTCCTCTACCATTCATCCCCAGGACTCATGTCCCAGATCCCAGGTCCCTCTTTCTTATCCATTCCCAGGTACCCATCCTCACCCCCATCACCCCAGATGTACATGGGCATATACTCCCTGACCCTCCTTTCCTGCAGGCAGTGAAGGTGCTGAGAACAGCTGAGTTTGTCCCTTACGTGGTGTTCATTGAGGCCCCCGACTTTGAGACCCTGCGGGCCATGAATCGGGCTGCACTGGAGAGTGGGGTATCCACCAAACAGCTCACGGTGAGGGGCTCTGAGGTGCAGTGGGAGGGGTCTGATGTCTGCCTGGGGTAGGAGGGGGCAGGTCAGAGCTAATGAAGAGAAGAAGGTGGCGTTGGGGAAGGGGAGAGGTGCCCACCCAAGGTATCAGCAAGGGAGGACTTGTGATTCCTGCTGTAGGTTTGGAAACAGAAGTCTGAGTGAGGCAGTGAAGTACCCAGATTCTCACAGAGTCAGGGACACAGCCAGCCCGGGGAGCAGGAGCTTCTGCCAGGCCCACTGCTCAGGCTATTCTGTGGGGGTGGAGTTCTGACCAAAGGGAACCCAGAGGGCCAGTGGGAGATCTTTGGGCAAAGGCAGACCAGGTGGGCTCAGGGCTGTTTACAGCTGGGGGAGAGGCTGAAGGGAGGGAGGAAGACAGAGGCGAGAAACCTGGCTGGAGGGACGAGTTAGAGTCAGGGAGGAGGCAGCTCTGGGAGGAGAGATTTCAGGTCAGGTGTTGCACGACTCCAGGGTATCCTCCTGTCAACCGAAAAAAACATCCAAGCCTAGAGAGAAATTTTATGAGTTTATTTGAGCCAAACTGATGACATATGCCCGGGAGTAAGATCTCCAATGCTCTGGAGAATAACAGTTTGTAGTTTCTTTTATACATTTGGAATTGAGGAAGGAAAGTAAAGAAGATTACATGAAGGTGGGAGAAAGCAAGGCAGGGATTTTACAGATTAGTTACTATTATATGCTCTCTTGAGGGTGGTCATGCTTTAGAAGGAAGGTTCTCAAAGGGGGCATTTCAAAGATGTATTAGCCTACTAGACGCACAGAAACAATGGACAGGGCTTGCTTGAGACAAAGATAAGCCTTTTACTAAAGAAGTTATATGCCTGAGGCGTGATACCCACCCTGACCTGCCCAGTTAAGAATTTATGATCAGATTGCTGTGTGAAGTTGCTTTCCATGGAACCCCTTTTTTTCTCCCACACCCCTCCAGGTAGGTACCCCTTGGAGCAGCCTTCCCCGAGAGGTGTAGGTTTGCAGAGCTCTGAGCGCAGGGGTCCCTCTGCTGGCCTCTCCTGGTACTGCAGCTCTCAGGTCCCAGTCACAACGTTGCTTGGGCTGTCTGGGCTGGGTTCCTCTGTTGCACTGCCTGCCGCCCCAGCCACAAACACGGCCGACTTGTGCCACTGAGACACAGCTGGGCCAGCCCTAGAGCACCCGCCTCGGCTTATTTAAGTCAGTATTCAAGTTTGCTTCCCACCCCTGCCTGGCCAGCTTGGACTGGGTCTGGCGTGGGGGTTGCCTTAGGCACTTGAGGGTACCCTAGTACCAGGTATGGCAAGTGCCTCTCAGGCTGCCTAGGTAAGGGGGTGGGTGTGCCTAGTCAGACTGGAGGGAGCACTGGCTTTGGAGTCAGACAGACCCTGTGCAGTCACTGGCTGGCTATGTGACTTCTTTGTACCTCGGTTTTCTGTGTTGTAAACAGGGAATAATTAGTCCTGCCTTGCAGAGCTGTAGTGAAGATTATGTGGGCTGCAAAGAGGTTAGTGCCATGTTTGGCACTTACTAAACGCTATTTCCTTCCTTCCTTCCTCCCTTTCACCCATCTGTCCACGGTTGCAGAAGAGCTGCCTTGGGGCATGTGGAGAGGGCTTCCTGCCTCCCTAGCCAGGGAGTCTGTACCCACCATGGTTGGGTTTTGGGGAGGCTGCTAGATGGGGCAGGCTGTATGTGTCCCCCTGATGATGGGAGTGAGCGGGGGACACTGACTGGTGAGAGGTTCCCTTGTGCCGGCAGGAGGCAGACCTGAGACGGACAGTGGAGGAGAGTAGCCGCATCCAGAGAGGCTATGGCCACTACTTTGACCTCAGCCTGGTCAACAGCAACCTGGAGAGGACCTTCCGTGAGCTCCAGGCTGCCATGGAGAAGCTGCGGACGGAGCCCCAGTGGGTGCCTGTCAGCTGGGTGTACTGAGCCTGCTTGCCTGGACCTTGATCCCTCTGGGTTGTGACCCAGAACCCTGAATCCATCCTTCTCCAACCATGACTCCCAACCACAATCCTTCTCTCCCATCCCTGGCGCTCTGGCTCTCCCTGGGTAGCAGCTCCTAGTGGGCCCTAAGTCTGGCTTCAGCACAGAGGCATGCACTGCCAGGGAGGTGGGTGTTCATGGGGTACCTCTGTGCCCAGGTGCTGCCCCCTCCCGATGCCCGTTAGCCACCAGATGTCCCTCTCTGAGGAACAAGCTAGTCCCAGGAGTGTGCCTGAGCACTTCCAAAAGGCTCAGTCCAGAGAAGAGAAAAGCTGCTTTGGGACCATGTGGTCAGTAGGTACACTGCCCTCTGTCACCTCTCTCCAGTCACCTTTTCTCCTCTGGATTGACCACACCCACCCCATTCCTTGGGCTCCTCCCACCTCTCTCCCGTTATTTCCTAGGAGCAGGCCCTAGGCGGTTTCCATGTGGTCCGGGGAGTGCATAGCTCCCTAGCAGCCAGGCAGGCCTGGGTAATGGTGCCAGCCTGGTGCCATCCTGAATGCTGCAGGAGCCAAAGCTTGAGCCAGTTGCCACAGCCAGGGAGCAGCTCTTGGCTCCCTCGGAATGAGGCAGGGTCCCACAAGTGGGACACTGCCCTGTCCTTCCTCATCCACAGCTTTTCACTGCCGAAGTCTCTCCACAGACTTCTCCAATGTGCCCCTAACAGGTCAGCTTTGCTTCCCAAAGGACAAGGCTGGCAGGGGGCAGTGGGCTCCACCCAGGTCAGGGTGTGTTGGAGGCTGACTCCTGTGACAGACAAGTAGCTCAGTCTCCAAGCTCTCCATGGCCCATGGTGGGGACATGTCTGGCTCCCTGTCCATGACCATTGTCCATTTTGGTCTTCTCTCTGGCCAGGTCCAAGTGGCCCACTGGCATCAGGGCTGCATGTGGGGCTGAGGAAGGATGTGGAGGGGACTTTGTGAGCACTGGGCCATGGAGTATGGGCTTGGTGAAGGACATTTGTGCTCTTCTTGTAGTCCAGCTCCAGGGGGCGCCATCCACACTGTTTCTGCGATTCTGTGGTGCCTGATCTGTTTCTGCCACTGGCGTGTGTGTGTGTGTGTGTGTGTGTGTGTGTGTGTGTGTGTGTGTGTGTGTGTGTGTGTGTCAGGCTTGGCTTTTGGAGAGGAGCAAAGGGTGGTTTTGCTTTGGAGGTCACTTTTTGAGGCCCCTTTTTTGGGGTTCCCAAAATGTCTTATGAGACCCCCCCCCATGTCTTATGAGACCCTTATCCCACATTCTAGAGCCTTGGCCCTCCCAGATGTCGTTCTCCAGCTGTCCTATTGTCCCCTGACCTAAATGCCACTCTCCAGTCCTTGGGGAGGGCAATTGTGTAAAATAGGAAAATCCATTTTAAGAAAAGAATGCTGTCCTAGACTTCCCCAGGCATTTCATTCCTCACCCTTCTCTGTGACCCTTCCTGGGGTGAGCCTGTCCTTGCGGGGCGCCACCCCAGCCCCTCTGCTTCCGGGTCCTTCTGAATGTCTAATCAGTGTTCGCTGCAGTGTCAGCCCAAGCTGACCCCTGTACCACTGTGTGCCCATTTCCTAGGGAAGGGGAGGGAGAAGAAACAGAATATTTATTACAAAGTTAGAAATATATTTATTATACTAGGGATCTCATTTGCATAGGATATGTAAATGAGGTGTCAAGGTCAAGCCTGGTCCCATCTCATTTGCATAGCTCTGCATCCACTATGCAGTGATCATTATACCCCTTTCCCTTTTAGTCAGTGTTCTTTCTATTCTTAATTCAGCTCTCCCTTGCACCACCCTCACCCTCAGCCCAGGGGACTGAGAAGAGGAGGAAAATTGGGTGTTCGCCTGCTGGCCTGAGGCCATAGTGTCTTTGCCAGTTCCCACCTCACTTGGGGGACTTCGGAGTGGAGGCAGCCAAGCATCCCCCTTGGTTAACCTCCAAAGCCCCCTGACCAAAAGATAGGGGTGGCGGTTGGGCACCTTGGTGGGGCGTTGACACCTGGCGTTTTAGGGTGAATCTTCAGTGTTAATGCTGTTCTGGCACCTCACCTCCAGTGATGCCCAGGGGACAGGGCTGGGCCCCTCCTCTCCTGTCTTCATCCCTTTCTGAACAGCGTACTACCTCCCCTGCCTAAGCCCCACTCCTTGGACCGGGCTGGGTCCAGGTTGGAACAGGTGTGTGTGCCCACCGTGTTAGCTCCGAGTCTGTCCTTTCTCCTCCCACTGTGGACGCTTGTATTTGAGGGACCTCAGGATAATGACCGTGCCCGTACTGTCCACACTTAGTCTCAGCCCAGTTGCCCTTCCCTTCTCTCCTCCTTCAGCCATCCAATTCCTGAACTCTCTCTCTGACTGGTTTTCTTTCTTTTCACTTGATTAAATGTGAAAGCAAAGGCCTCTGGTCTCTGTCTGTCTTTGGTTGGGGTCAGGTGGAAAACTTCTGGAGAGGGTGAGAGCAGGGGAGCACAGCACAGATGATGATTCTTTAGCAGTGTCGGAGCGATGTGTCTTGTGTTCTGTGATTTTTTTCCCCCCGAAATTTCGAGTCCTGCTATTCTACACTCTCTATCCCGAGAAGAGGCTTTTTCTAAATTATTGCATCCAGTAGTCTGGGAGCATTCGAGGGAGCCAATTGACTCAAGGACTCCATGGCTAAATCTATTTAGCTTCACCTGGAACTTGCTATGTGGCCTTTAGCAGGTTCCTCTACTTCTCTGGGCCTTGGCAAGTATGTATGTATGTATGTATTTATTTATTTACAAATTGAGAAACCCATGTTGGCCATTGAAGATGGGCAGTCCTGCCGCTTTTGCACAAGTCTTAGGGTCCCACACTCAGATTCCTGTGGCACCCCACTGTGGCATCCACAGCTGAAAGGCCTTTTTTTTTTTTTAAGATTTTTTTTATTGGGGAATTGGGGAAGGGGAACAGACAAGTGGCTGTCCTTTTGCTCCTCAGTCTAGTTGTGGAGGACATCGCTTCACTGGCCCATGTTGGTATGATCATTGTGCTCTTCCTGGCCGAGGCAGATCAATCGCCGGCCATTGGATGGCCGCTCACGGCGGCTCACGGCAGCTCACGCCGGCTGCCGGCCACTCACAGCAGCCCAGCTCCAGGTCGAGTTGCTGTTCACCATCTTAGCTGTAGAGGGTGCAGAGTCACTGGCCCATGTGGGATCCAAACCGGCGGCCCTGTTGCTCAGAGCTTGCACTCCCAAGCGAACTCTTAACCAACAAGCCACTCGGCCAGCCCTGAAAGGATTTTTTAAAACAAAGGGTTTATTGGGCCATACTGTTAGTCAGAAAAGGACCTGGGGCATGAACTCTAACCACCAGCTGCATGGTTAGGTGCAGAAGGCCATATGTCTACCATCCTGGAGTTGGTGAACACTATTTATGTTATGGTTGGGGAAGAAAGATGTAATTTGTTTGAAAGAATTTACATTGGCTACAGATAAGAGGGGTGAGATAAGGTGAAGCAGGGCAGTTCTATGATAGACGCACAGTCTGTAAGCAAGAAATATTTACTACTTTTTTTCTTAAGATTTTTATTGGGGAATTGGGGGGATGGGAGCAGCGCTGGGGAATTGGGGGAAGGGGAACAGACAAGTTGCTGTCCTTTTGTTCTTCAGTCTAGTTGTGGAGGGCGTTGCTTCACTGGCCCAAGTTGGCACCATCATTACGCTCTTCCCTGGCAAGGCAGATCAGTCGCCGGCTTCTGGACGGCCGCTCACTGTGGCTGCTGGCCGCTCACGCTGGCTGCTGGCTACATATGGTAGCCCATGGCAACCCACTGCAACCCACTGCCACAGGGGCTGCAGCCTACGCCGTTGCAGGCCACTCATGGCAGCCCAGCTCCAGGTTGAGCTGTTGATTAGCATCTTAGCTGTTGGAGGGCAGTGTCACTGGCCCTCATATGTGGGATCCGAACCAGGGCCCTCTGGCGTCCCAAGCCAGTTCTTAACCATCGCACCACTCGGCCGGCCCCCAATATTTACTACTTTTGATTGGCTCAGTTCTGAAAGTTCTTGCATATGCAGGATGTATTGGTGTCTGGTGGTCAGCTGGTAGATTCCTGGAGGTTGATTCAAAGCTCCAACATACATTCAGGAATGTCTGTAGTCTTTTGTCAGCTGGCCCCCAGCTATTAACTGGTTAATTAATTAACCAGTATAGTAATTAAAGTATAAAAATAATTAATTGGTTAATTATTCCTGTCTCTCTGTCTCTGGCCTGCTGTAATTTAAGAACATCTCAGAATTTTTTTTTTGTCAGCTGTTTAGCAATGGGTATCAGTAACTTAAAAAATGTTCACAACCTATGACCTGGCACTTCCACATACGAAAATCCTTAAGGAAATTTCTGCAGATAAAGCCTCGTTCAAAGATTCACCACGTGGCTATTTATAAAGCAAAAATAGAAAATAAATATCTAGTGAGAGAACAAATAAATTGAAGCATACTGATAATGATGAAATATTACACAGCTGATAAACATTTTATTTATAAAAAGCTTGTAAAAACATGGAGAAATGCTTACGATATATTAATTAAGTGGGAAGAACAGGATGCGAAGTACGAGTATATACAAAAAAATTTGCAAAAGAACACCAGCAAATGATGTGGAGAAAAAAAGAGTGGAAGGAAATACAGCAAACTGCAACAATGATGGTCTCTGGGTAGTGGTAAGACTATGGGTGACTTGTTTTCTTTTTCCCTCCATCTTTCTAAGTTTTGTATACTGGGCAACCCCCTCTCCCCGCCATTTTACTTTTTAAAGAAAATAGAAATAGAAAAGAATTGTTCTACTTTACCCACCTCCCCATCCCACAACTTCTCCAGGGGGCCAGACTTAGGGTCACCTTGAGGTCCCTCATATGTTCTTGCTCTGTCCCCTTCCTCTTCCATTTTAGACGCTCATCTACACCAGAGGTTTCCTCCACGCCACCCCCCCCACCCCCCCAGCCACCAGAACTGAGGCAATTAACCCTTTCTTGACAAAGAAGGAGCCAAGCTTTTCTTTCCATCCTCCTTCCAAAGCCTGGAATGAATGCTTGGCTGGGAGAGGAGATCTGAAAGACAACTCCTCCTTGCCTTCCAGTGTGCCATGCCCTGTGCCTGGACTCACGCAGGCCCAGGAAAGGCCCCAGCTGGGTCATGGTGTTATGGGCAGAGCAGCCCCTGTAGGGGTGGGTGGGCGACCCCATACACCAAATGTAGACTCTAAACTGGAGGGACCTGAGAGTTCAACAGGCCCACTGGTTCTCCAACTTGAGTATTAGAACCGCCAGGCACTTATTAGACATGCAGAGTCCTAGGCCCAGCCCCAGAGATGGTTTTAGTAGGTCTTGGTAGAGCCCAGGGATCACATTTTTAACCAGCTTCCTGAAGGACTGGGATGCAGGTGGTTCAGAATCTAACCCCAGCATGTTTCCTCCTCACCCCACCTTATGCAGGAGAAAGTGGCGCTGAATTTGAGAATGGAAGGAAGGGAGGAGAAGGTGGGGTCTAGAGGATGGAGAGGGCGACTTCTTATCTCCAGGCCCAGGGGATTGCCTGTAGCAAAGAACCCAGACCAGAGCTGAGCCCTGCCTGGCCCTGGTGAGGGTCCAGTGGCTTCGTGCCCTGCCCAGGGATGTGAAAACATTGGGGAGGTCCCAGTCTCTGCTGGAACTGTGAGGCTACCACTGCAGGCTGACAAAGGTTTCCAGGGCAGGCTGGGGCATGCAGGAAGAGAGCCTGGGGAAGGTGGGAAGAGCCCTGGAGTCTAGCAGGTGAACTCTGAAGCCAAGGCAGAAGGCCAGAAAGCTTATTGGAATGAATGCAAATCCAGCCACTCAGATTCACAGCAGGCCTGGCCTAGAGGGGCCCTGTGGCTAGACCAAAATGAACTTGGAGAGGCTGAGCTCCTCGCACATGTGAGGGGGAGGCCTTGGGCTCATGTCGCGCTCAGGGTGCTGGAAAGAGGCTTCCTCTTCCTCTGAAGGCTGTAAGGACAACATTGGGGGTTGAAAGCAGAGCCCAGCGGGGGTGGGGGTCTCCAGGTAACTGCTGGGTCCACCCCAGCTTTTTCCACAGCTCCAGGTCTCTGTCCTTTTAAGGGGCACAGGAACTAACAGCTTCTCCCCCCAGACTCCTCAGGCTTTGATTCACCTCCCCACCTTCCACCCATACATTCCCTGAGGGAGCATACTCATGGCCTCATGCCACATTCTGACTTTAGATGTTGGAATCCTGCCAGCCCAGAGCTCTTTAAGCTGTGATTCCCCACAAACTACTCTAGAATTTTCTGGATGGGGTAAAAGAGGATGTAAAGTCAAGAACCTTGGGTCCCAAGTAGCCAAGGCCGGTGATTATGAGGGGGTAGGTGGGTGGGTGTGGGGGAGGGGATGCTGAGCAAAGAGCCCTCCCCCACTTCCTTGCACTGTCAGAGAGGAGCCCCGCTAGGTGGCTCCAGGCCACCAGGGCCTTCTGTCTGCACCTGGCTTAGGCACTGGATCTCTGTGTAGGGGCTGGCGGAGGACTTCAGGCTGGCACAGGGTCCCATGGGCGCTGCGAGGTTGATCACCGCATACTCCGGGACCAGGCCGTTCCCCAGAGGCTAAAACAGAGACTCAATCAGAACAGGCCGTTTTTGGCAGCAGGAATGGTGGGTGAGCCCAGGCAGAGAAGGAAAATGCAGGAGGGGAGAGCAAGGGGAAGAACTCCAGCTGTGGAATCAGAGTCTCTGGGTCCAATTTCATATGTCCCAGTGTGACAGTGGGCAAGCCACCTAACCACTCTGAGGCTCAGTTTCCTCAGCTATAAAATGGGGATAAGAATTTTTCGCTCAGTGTCATAATGAAAGTTCATGATAATGTTTTATCATTCAACAACTGGGGACTCCTGGAATGATTCATTTGTTTTCATCACTGTTATTTCTAGCCTTTAAGCAGAAAGAACTTGCAGGCTGCAGGTTCTTATAATAGAGAGAGCCAAGTTGGGCACTTAAAAGATTCACTGAAGGGCCGGCCGAGTGGCTCAGTTGGTTAAGAGCTCGCTCAAGAGTTTGAGCTCTGAGCAACAGCGGTTCGATTGCCGGCCCGAGCTGAGCAGCCGCTGAGCTGCCAACAGGTGTCAGGATGGCTCAGCTTAAAAAAAAAAAGAAAAAAAGAAAAAAAAGTCCATGCTGAAAAGATTCACTGAAAAACAAAATGCACGAGAAGAATTCTTCAGAGATTATCAATGTGAGTAAATCCTCCCTGATCAGATGAGGAAACTGAGGCCCAGGGAAGACAGGTGGGTCGTCCAGAGTGAATGGGGAAGCCCATCTCCTGTCCCAGGCCCTGCTGTCCCCATGGGTCTTCAGGTTGGGATGCCAGATCCCTCTACCTCCTGCTCGCTTGTCCAAACAGCTGGGAAGAGCTCAGGCGGGAACCACCCAGGACCTCAGCCAAGGTCTCCCAAGGGCACAGCTGCCCTGAGGTGCCCCGGCCAAAGAGTCCCATGGGCGTGGCTTAGGAAGCAGCTAGAAGAAAGAAGCTACCATTTTCTGGACACCTATGGGGTGTCTTATCTCACTCTTTCCTAACTACAATCCTTTCAGATGGGAAACCCGAGGCTCAGACAGGTGATGTAATTCGCCAGCATCACACAACTGGCGAGTGGCTGAGGGTAGAGGGAATGGGGGGAGGGGGAAGGAGATTTCACAAATGTTATCACTCATGGCCCTTGGCTTTCCCTGCCTGTGGTGAGGACATGGCAGAGCTGGGATTGACCAGAGGACTCCTGAATGGACTCAGGTCCATTTCCCATTAACCCCATGTTTACAGCTTTATGATTGGATAAAAACCCAGCCATTACTGACCACTGACCACCACAGAAGTGTCACCTCAAGGGTGACTGAATTTGAGGCAAGAACCTCATGAGGCAGAGACGAAACTACGCATGCAGGCAGTAGCCGGGACCACTGCCCCACGTCTGGTGCGGGTCTCCATCCATCACTGGACAAGTGGCCTGTTACAGCAAGCGCAAGGGGCATTTTCTGGGTTCTAGAATATACAAGATATATATGAGAGTCTCTGCTTTTAGGCACTCGACTGTAGAGTCCTAACCTAAGCCCGGCACTCCCAGTTGGGCTATTCCAGGAGTCAGGGTCCATGACTGTCCTGTGTCATGGGCCAAAGATGGTTCTTTCTCCTGAATTTGGGGGAGTGTTGGGCTGTGGAGTTGGCGCCATTCCTCAACCCCTTGTGTTTCAGCGTGGGGGGTGGAGAGGCACAGTGTTGCAGCCAGCCCCACAAACCACCGTTAGTTTTCCCAGTTCTGCCTCCTTCAGGCTGGGTTGCTGTGGGCAGGTTACTTATGCTCTCTAAGCTTCTATTTCTTATTCTGTAAGAAGTGGGGAATAAGATCTAGCTGTGCAGGAGTTACAAAGATTCAATGATGTATGTAAAGCCCCTGGCACGTAGTAGGTGTTCAAGAAAAGAATAAAAGGAGCACTTTTGGCAGTAGCTCTTGAAGGGAACCAAATTTTGCCACCCTAAAGCTGTCTTTTTGGGATATTGATTTTAAGCTGTTTATTAAGAAATAAATCTCAGAAAGAACCTTTGGCCCTCCCCGCTTTCCTGCCCAAGAGGTTCAGACCAAAAAACCTGCCCTTAGGAAGGGATCCTTTGCTTAATCACCTTAAAAATTTTCACCCTAGCATTAGCCAGGATGATTCCATGCCTGTTATCTAGATAACCCCCCTGCCCCCCCACCCCAGTCCCATTGTCTGAGTTGCCCAGCAAGAATTTTTCCTGCCACTTTCACTTTTCCTCAACTACCTGTAAATCGCCCATTCACACTTCTGAAATCTAATACCCTGTGCTCCCTTTTTCTACTTTGTCCCAAATGTCTTATATACCCAATGTTGCTGGGTATATACCCAACTGTTTTTGGAATTTTCATGCCTATGCGAATTCCCCATGCACGTGTATTAATTTGATTTTTCTCCCATTAATCTGTCTGTTAATATGATTATTAGCTCAGCTAGAAGAACTCAGAGGTGGGAGGAAAAGTATTAATTGTTTTTAGCCCCCACACTCTCTTGGGACGGAAAATGCTGGTCTGACCCCTAACACTTCCCTCTGAGTTTTTACACCCCCTGGGGCTCTGTGGCAGAGTACTTAGAGTATCCTCTTCCCTCTTTGACCTGAATGTGGGCAAAGAACACCCAAACCCTTTCAATTCCACCTCCAGACTTGGCTGGAAACTACAGAGAAACCAAAGAAGAACAAAAGTTCTCAACTGGTTGTGTTCACAGGGTCTTGCCTCTGACCTTCTTGGGAGACCCTGTTCCATCCTTCCCCCCAACAAGGGGCTGCCCCATCCCCATCCTCTGCCTGCTGGCCCTGTTTACTTTCCTGTCTCCTCCCACGGGAGCAGGAGCAGGAGCAGGACAGATGACTCAGGCAGAAGCTGAGCAAGGCAGCCCTTCCAAGTTCTCCCTCCTACCTCAGCTCCTCATCTGGAGTTGATGGGGTTGAGCCCGAGGATAAAAAGCCAAGAGCCTGAGCTCTGAAGGTGGCCAGTGGCAGGTCCCCTCCCCCCATCTGTTTCAGAGACCTTTCCCTTGTTCCTATCTGCTTCCTTTGGCCTTGAAGAGCTTCCTGAGACAACAGCTGCTTCCTAAGCCAAACCCAGTATCCCATTCCCACCCCTGCCCCTCCCTAGAGGGATAGGACCTGAGACTTTTGTCCTCACTGGCGCCAGGAAAGAAGGCAACTGTACTTCGCTTTCCTGCCGCCATGTTTAAGAGAATCGGAGTGGAGGCATCTCAGTAACAGCCCTTTCCTCCTGTAGGAGTGCTGGCATGGGATGGGATGGTGTCTTTCTGCATGGGTCAGGGAAGGGCCTTGCAGCAGGTAGCCTCAGGGCAGGGTCTCCTCTCCGGGAAGAGGGGCCCTCTGCCCGCTGGTCCCTGGAGCACCACCTTTAGCCTGGATCTCAGAGCCAAGTAAAGTTCAGAGAAAACATTAGGGTATTCTGGAAAGAGGAGAGATGAGAGTGGATATCTGGGTCCTGCTTTCTATTTGGACCACCACCTGCTGTGTGACCTTGGGCAAGATTTTTACCCTCTCTGGGCTTCAGTTTCCTCTTCTGCAAAAGCAGTCTAGAGTCTGCAGTTGTCATAATCTGGTATGCTCTCAGAATTCTGGTGGGGAAGGGCGGTGTTTAAAATTCAAGTTCCTGGGCCCCACCCATGGAGGTTTCATTGTGGAGAGAGTGTATTTCTAACACATCCCACCCCGACCCGCCCTCTAACCCCAGGTGTTCTGAAAGAAGGTTTACACCAAACGTAGAGGAAGGCTGGACAGGATGATCTATCTCAAAGGCCCTCTCTGGATCCAGCTCTGATGTTCTCTGATTCTAAAGAGGGGATGGGAAGAGGGCGCTGGGCCTAGGGATGAGCCCCACCTGGTCCCTGGAGGGAGGTCGGGGTGAGGAGGGGCACTCTGTCAGCTCACAGCCAGAAGGGCTGGTCTCTGGGCTCACAGAGATTACCTGGATGTGGGAAGTGGTAAGTGGGGAGTAATCCCTGCCTTGAGGTCAGCCATGGAGAACCAGATAGGGAGAGGCAGAGATGGGGCCCAGGTGTCCTGAATTCCAGTCTCAAGAGGTCCGGGGTTTTAACTTGGGCTTTGGCCTGCCTCCTTTCTTACCAAGTGTGAGAGGTGGACCTTCTCATTCTTCTGTGTCTGCATGGCCAGTTGAGCTGAAAGAAACCAGAAGGAGCACCTTGAAGCCAGGAGTAGCCTGCAGCTGCTCCCACAGAGGTGGACTGGTCCCCTTGCACTACTGAGCAGGGCAGGCAGGTTGTGCAGAGAAGCCCCTTCCAGCTCAGCCCCTTGGCAATGACCGGCCTTTTGAGATCAGTACATGGAATTCTCTTTATGTGGGCCAGAAACCAGATGGGGAAGTAATTCTGTGTTGCTCCTTAAGCCTCAGTGTGCAGAAAAGTCCCTGGGAAATTTTAGTAAAACGCAGATTCTAATTCAGTACGTTGGGGACTGTCTGTATTTCTAACAGGCTATCAAGGGACGTCATTGCTGCTCTGTCACTGTAGATCCATAATCTGAGAGGCAAGAGGCTCTGAGGTTGTGAGCAGAAATGCCCCCACACTATGTGCTCCTCCCAACTCCTCTGAGGGGGCCTGGGGACATGGGCAAAGCTGACATTTCTTCCTGGGGCCACACAGGGAGGAGTTGGTAGACAGGTCCAGGTTGTCCCCATGGACACTTGCACAGGGACAACATTGCCAATCTACAAAGTATTTTTCCACATATCTTCCGGGCTCCACTGCTTTCTAGCTATGCAAACACAGGGCAAGCCACTTAACTGTGTCTCAGCTTCTTCCCCTGTAAGATAGGGGTACTTGTAATAAGTAGTTCCTAACTCCACAGGAATGAGGAGATTAAAGGGGATAAAAGCAACATAAGCCACACAACCGTGCATGGTGTATGGTAGCTCCTATTACTATTATTTAGTTAATCTTTTTAATCTGTGCCATCTACCACAGGAGCCGTGAGCCACACACGGCCACTGAGCACTGGAATGGGATTGCTTAGAATTACACTAGCTTTCGAAGACTCAATATGAAAAAAAATGGATGTAGAATATGTATCATTAATGTTTTTGCATTGATTACACGTTGAAATGATAATATTTTAGTTATATCATGTTAAATGAAGTATATAGTTAAAATTAACTTCACCAGTTTTTTAAAATTTCTTTTCAAGTGACAATCAGAGAATTTTAAATGACATACATGGCATGTATTCTATTTCTGTTGGACGCATATCTGGGATCCGAAGAAGCCACGGCTCAGAGAAGTTAGGTGACTTGCCCAAGGTTACACAGCTATAATGTGGCAGAGCTGGGATTTGAAGTCAAGCCTCGAAAGAAGCTGAGCACCTCTGGAGACCCAGGGGCAGGTGTGGGGCCACAATGCCTGTCATGCTCAAATTCAAGTGCTCAGTCCTGCTTTTCCACCAATAGTCAATCCTCATACAAGAGGAGCCTGGACATGGATTCGCTGGGGTCGACTCGGGAGAGAAGTGATTGATGAGCCCAGACAGCCGTGAGCAAGCCAAGAGCCCCCATTCTCCCACTGCCCCATTTGAATTGCTTTTTCCTACTGTCGATGGCCTGTGTTTCCCCCAGAAGGGAGAGCAGGACTGGTGGTGCCCATATCTCAGACAGACACACTGAACCACAAGGTCTGTCTGCGGTGGTGGGGGTACTGCAGGTCTCGGTGAAGTCCCCAGCCAAGAGCTTCCCACCCACTTCAGTCTCCCTTTGCTCACCTTTTTTCCTCCATTGGAACATGTACCCGACGAGGGCAGTCAGGCCTGTGGCCAGCAGAAGGCTCAGCAGCACCAGGACCGGCGCCAAGATTCGGACCATTGAGAGGGACTTCCTGTGGGCCAGATGGAAGGCGCCCAGTGGCTGTCACCAGATATCAACGGCATGCTGTGTGTGCACCATGGCATTGTTGTTTTGAGTCCCAGCCATGTCCCTTGTCTTTCCCAAGGAGATCAGAGGGCACCAGGGACCAAACATCTGGTCAGTCCCAATGGAAAGGACCCCAGCCCCCACTGCCAACCCCAGGAGACACTTTCAGCTGGGTCTGCACGTGCCCACAGTTACCTAGATGACAGTAATTGAATGAAGTGATATATAAACCCCCAAGAAGCAATCCTTCAGGCTAGGACTCCAATTGGGTAAGAAAATATATATATATATATTTTTTGGTTCCATATTCTCATGCTTGGCACAGGGCCCAGTTCAAAGTGTACAGGCAAAAGCTACTGAATAAGGGTGGCTGTCTCTGAGGCTGGAGCAGTGAGAGAGTCCCCTGTGGGGACTAGGGCCATGGTGGACCCTTCACCTTGGGTGAGCCCGCGTGTCCAGGGCATCAGGGCTGCTGGCCCCTGTAGGGTAGGTTGTTCCCTGCTCAAGGGCCCCGCTGAGGGGCTGAACCTGCCCTTGGTGCCTCAAGCTGCAGCTGTGAAAAGAGGCTGTGTTCTTCTGGAGGAAGGAGTGTTAGGTTCTTATTTGCACAAAGGCCCCTTGTGGTTTGGTGATGGCCTGACAGGTGACCTTGGTCATCTGGAGCTCACCTGGACTTGGAGTTGCTGCTGCTGGGGACAAGTCTGGTGTCCTCTGTTGGGGTGGAGTCCAGATGTCTTGCTGGGCTGGAGGTTCCTGCATGAGGAGAGGTTGCTTTGTGAGGAGAGGTCTCTTCATTCGGAGAGGTCGCCGTGTGAGGAGAGGTCCCTGCGTATGGAGAGGTTCCTGTGTATAGAGAGTTTCTTGCATGCTCATATGGGGACGTCCCTGTGAACGGAAAGGCCTTGGCCTCTGTCTTCCCCTGCTCAGCTGTGGTGACTGTCGAGTGGAGACCAGGAGAAGCTACAAGTCCAAAAGCAATGTCTCAGCATCTTCCCTGACCCCGGAATCCTAGCTTCCCCAGACCTCTGATCCTTGATCCCTAACCCCTACCCTCCCTGGGACCAATTTTTCAAAACATCCCCAGGTAAAGGATACCTCAGGAAGCAAACAGAGGCCTAGGTGAAGCCGTTTTGAGAAAGCAGTCCATATCACAGGTGTGCCCCATACTTGTACACAGTTTTCAGCCCCTTTTTGTGTCTGAAGCCTGTTCTCTGTGGGGAGGGGCATACCCCTGCCCCCACCTCCATGACCCATTCCAGTGACCACTCAGTAGATACCTTCTTGCCCTCCCCCTATAGTCCTGGCCAATTGTTGCCTCTACCCTCATGTGAAAGTTGTCATGTCACCATCACACGCCCACCCCTATCACCTATGTCTCAGTAGGCCTTGGCCTCCTTCAACAGCCATGGGGTCAGCAGGGCAGGGTGGCCGGGACAGATCCAGAGGTCAGGGCCAAAGACCCAGCGTCCCTTGCTCACCCCTCAAACCCTAGGTGGAGCACAAAAAGCCGAGCTTTGTAGGGTCAGGCAATGTCTACTTCCTGGCTGTGCAGCTTCCTGTGTGACCTTGAGCAAGTGACCTAACCCTGCTGAACCTTTAGCTGACAATCCAGCTCCCCAGGCTGTGGGGGCCATAAAATGCAGTGTCTGGCACCAGGCAGGCCCTCACTGGATGTTTCTTTGCAAAGGGGTGGAGGAGGGGCAGAAAAACCACACACTCACTCAATTCTGGGAGCTGAGTTTGCCAAGCTTTAGCCTTTGTCTGGAGGCTTGTTGTAGCAAGAGGCTGGAAGGAGGGAGTGTGGGAGGGAGGACAGCAGGGACCTAGGGGAAAGGGAGATGCTGGTCTCAGGGAGGCAAGGATCACTGCTTTGAACCAGATTCCCTGCGTTGGGAGCAGCCAGCAGCTTTCCCATCCACCCCCAACCCCCACTTCCCCTCAGAGCATCGCCGTCTTCTTCCATCAGCTGCTAGGGAGAAATGGATGGTAAATTCCAGCAGATCACTGGCCTTCCCCTCCTGCAGTCCCCTTGGCTCCCGCTTGGCTTAGACCTTCAGTTTCCCTTGTCCCCTAGCTGCCCACCAGCCTGCCCGTTCCACGCCACCCTTCACATCGATGCCAGTTTTATCCCTAAAATATATATTGGATTCCATCGCTCCCTGCTTCAGAATAGTCAATGGCTCCCCACTGCCCATAATCTGAAGCTCAAACTTTTTCTCGTGCCTTTCAAGGTCTTTTAAACTCAGACTTCAGCCCACCTTGCCAACTTCACCTCTTCTCCATCCCATGAACCAGCCGTACAGAGTTGCCCTCCGGTGCCATTTAAGCGAGCCTCCTGCCTGCCTCCACGCCTTTGACATGTTCCTCTGTGTGCCATGCCTTTCCTTTCCATCTCTGCCTAACACACTTCTTTCTGTCCTTCAAGCACTGGCTCAAAAGTCAACTCCTCCATAACACCTTCCCCGGAAGGAGCAAATCTTTTTTCCTTTGTGTACCCACAATATCCTCTGCACATTGCCAGTGGAACTAATACTCAATTATGTGGCAACAACTTGTTCATGAGGTTTCCCCACTAGGCTGGGAGCCCTCAAGGGCAAAATGCCAAGCCCTGCTCAGCACAGTGGACATAAACCGAGTGTGGTCAAACCCCCAGGAGCCACTGAGCTCCCCAACTCCCCACGCCCATCAGATGCCTCCTTTCTGAGTTACATGTCATCCTGGACTCTCACTCCTGTTCCCCACCATTCTCTATTCTAATACTAGGTCAGTTTTTCTCCAACTTCTCTGATCAAATGATCAAGTCTTCTGCAAATAAAAGTATTTTTCTTTTCCTTTCCAGTATTTATATTTCTCAATCCTGTCATATTTCATTGCCTAGGGCCTTAGGCAATGATGGATAAAAGAAACGATACTGGGGGCCGGCTGAGTGGCACAATGGTTAAGAACTGGCTTGGGGGCCGGCTGAGTGGCTCAGTTGGTTAAGAGCTCGCTCAAGAGTTTGAGCTCTGAGCAACAGCGGTTCGAGTCAGCCCG